GATCCGCGCGGCGGTCTTAATTCTCAATAATTCTAGCCAGAGTACCAACAATTGGCAGATACTAACTTCAGAATATCTGCAACATAGATCAGACACCAGTATCCTATGAGTTGATTGCTGGATAAACCTATAACATCAAGGATGAGAAAACTATCTAGATGCAATTAAGGCAGTCATCAGGTTGGGACAAACCCCAAGGAACGATTCAGCTTACCGTATTTGCAGATAGAGTTCCACGAGTAAAACTGCTTATCTTATTTTGTGGCAAGGGAATCGGACTAACAATTATTACGGAGATATGAGAATACAACAACTGTGTAGTTGTGAAGTTTAAACCCACAGACTATGCAAATAGTGAGAATATTGTTAGCTGGTTAGATGAACAGCTGGCTCCAGTATTGGACAGTCAATCAACCCTTCTTGCATTAGATCTCTTTAGAGGACATAAAACTGACAACGTACTCGATACTATAAAAGCCTACGATATTACTACCAGCATTCTTCCAGGAGGTTGTACAGGGCTAATACAACCCCTTAATATATCAATAAACTATTGTTTTAAAAATATCTTAAAGGTTAGTTTATTCTTATTATTAATATAACAAGAATTATCTATGGAGCATTTACCTCAGACAGCCAATACCCAAGAATAAGCCCTTTGATTTTCCCAGAAAGATGAAACTTCCACTACTATTTTCAAGTTAAAATCATAAGAACTCAAATAATCAAATCATATTCTATGACGTTGAAGTTACCTCCTCTAGTAAAGTCCTCATTTTTTGTTTTTTTTCTATTTGCTCCAGAATACCATTAAAAGTCAAAGGTACTAACTCAATTACAAAGAATTAGGAACCATTAGAAATCAAGCTTGATGAGATTGAACGAGAAGAGGAAAGGATATTAGCAGCAGGAGGGGTACTTACCGGAAGTAAGGTTGAGTGATGACAAACAGGATTAATATGGACAGTAGGTGATGCCTGGGAGAAGTTCTAGGCAGCAAAGGTTGAGGTAGTTAGAAAGGTGTTTTGGGTAGTTGGACTTGTGTTTCCTATTGATAGATCAGCAGATCATGAAATCTCAGTAAAAGAGATTGAAACAAATTTTCTTACTGAAGGACTCAAGAATTGGGAGATTGATGGTGTTGTTGATAATAAGGAGGATCTTGTAGCATTAGATGTTGGTGAGGATGAGGTAGAAGTTTTTTTTGAATAACTGCCAAGAAATAATGAAATTGATATTGCATATTAGGTGACTAGTGTTCTTGGTGTAGTTCACCTTAATTTAACTACTCATAATGTTGAGACATTTGTGAAAACAACTAGGCTTGCATTAGCGTACATTAGCGTGCATTGGCATGCATGGAGATGCATGAGCACTATTCTAATTGGTGGGTCAAGCTGTAGTGAGAAGTACTCAAGTATATAGAGTATCGTGAAAATGAGCTTCGAGGAGTAAATTCAAAACTAATTATGTACAAGAAGGGAAGTTGAACTTGGAAAAAGAGAAAGAGAAGGAGAATATAGGGGCTAGAAATTGAAATTATTTCAACCATTGTCAGCAATACATGCCTTGATCTGTGATGACATGAGTCAATATGGTGATTTATCCGTTTCTCTGGATAGGCGTTCTACTCCTTATCACAAGATTAGGTATAATCATAGATAAAATAGAAGAAACATGTGAAAACTTACCAGTTGAAGAAGTCTGAGGATCTCCCATGAAGTCATGTGAGGCCCAATTTGCTCCTGAAGCTTGTCTTTAAGCTCAGTCCAAATAGTTTCTATTGGATTTAAGTTTGGGGAATTAGCGGGCCAAATTAACTTCCTGTAACCCAATCGCTCCTGTAGGATATTATGATAATGGTGGATATGTACAGGAGCATTAGCCTCCATTATTATAATATCCCACCCTGGGAATTCATGTATCATATGTGCTGTAAAAGGGTATAGAAGAGGATTCAAAATCCTTGCATGATAGATATACCAGTTGATACCTCCTTTCCGATCTACCTTACAAACCTTTAATTCTGGCTCTGGATCCAGTTTAGGCAGCCCTCTCAAGGTTGGTGTTGTATTTTCTCCTACTTCATAGTCATATCCCTTCTGCAAAACTACTGCTGACTGTCTGCGCTGCTGTGGTGTTTCATAGGGCGATGTATAGAGCTGGTAGGGAAGTTGATTTCCTTTAATATTTTATTTTGTTAGCTTTTATGTACATTAAAATAATTAACTTAATAATATAAATAATAAAGTAAATATTATACCTGATTTTCCATACAGAATAGCCCCCCAAAACATTACAGTAGCTCTTTGAGCAAACTTGTGCTGAATATTTTGTGGCCTATATGCCTCTCCTGCTCTTCTTAAAACTCCTCGAGCCTGTTAGGAATACCAGAACCCGATACCTAGAAACTACCCTAAGTAGGGTAACCCCACTCGGAATCGGAATCTCTGGTCTCCACCACCACCCTCTGGCTCCCTTACGGGGCCCACGTGTCATCATATATATTAATCTCAGTTGCGTCCTGTGACTATATTACCACAGAATTGAAGGTGTTAGAATAACACCATATACATCGTTGCCGTCCATCCGACCAGATCCTGTTCACAAGATATATGAGAGGGGACCTTCGGCTAGGCCTGAGAAGTGGAACGGAGTAATTCCGTCAACTACTCAGAGAGTTACTTGGCTCCAAAGACATAACACCATTGGTATGGGCTTTAAGTAACAGGACGATTTTGCACAAAGAGATAATACCAAATGGTAAAGGATCTCTACTAGAGACCAATACATTTACATCCACCAGAAGAGTCTAGAACTCCAAAAAACACTACTAAAGAAGCCAACGAACTTCATGGAGTATTGCAACTGGGTTTTGGAACACGTCGTAGTCATGGGATGATTCCCAATACTACAATGATTACTGAAACCTACTACCCAGAGGGCAACCAAGGGTTGCCAACCGAGGGATTAATTACCAATCTGGTGGAATAGCTTCCTGCGAGTTAATAGGAAGTCATTCAGACAAAATCTATCTGTTGGGCATGGAGTTACAAAGGATCGGAGTCAGACAACCTACGATGATTATAATGACGACTACCTTTGCGATATAGCTGTGAATAAAATTAATCATTTTATCAATGGCAATGGCAATTGGAGCCAACTCAGTTCGACTTGAGAACTAGGCCATAAGTCTAAAGACTCTGCTAATCGGGAAATTACTATTGGGGGCAGCATGCTTGCTAAGAAGAAATATCGAAGAGGGTATGATGGTTTTCAGGGTCCACAGGTGTTCACACCTTGGAAGAAAACTTGACATCGCGAATTATGATTGAAGAAGTACATAGTTGTATGATAAATAGATGTAGTCCGTGAACACTCAGACGCGGAATATAAATATCGAAGTGCCTCCCAAAGCTTTAGACATCATTAAGCAATGGAAAAGAGACCTTAACAATATAATATTGTTTTTACGATTCTACCCTACTTTACCTACTTTACTTCGCTCCTAGTAGTCATAAATGAAACGAGCCAAGTTCGAGCCTTCCTAGACAATCTCCGTCTACAAAAAACGAATCTCAATTGGCCTAGACAATCTTGAAGTCTATCAAGTTGTCTCCGCCTAACAGAGCCCGATGGCGACGAAGATTTCCTGTTTCAAAATAAAACTCATCAGTAAAGATAACCTCTCGCCAATCCCAATGGCGATGCAAATTGCAGAATGCAAGTCGTGTGCCCTGTTGAGCTGAATTCAGGCTAGGTTTGGACATAGGCTTTTGCCAATGAATTTTGTTCTCCACAAGTACTTTTGAAACGGTTTGACGACTGATATTTAAATTCGCTATTATATGTATTATATTATTAGTTACATGTATACATATATGATTGCGCTATGAGTTAGAGTATAAAATTATGATTTTATTCTATACTTACAGGCTTCCGCAAGTTGGGCAAATGTCATACGACAATGTTCCACATCCATCAAAGCAGTCTCTACTAGGTGTGTCTTTTCAGCAGCACTCAGAGCTTCATTTCATCCTTTCACAGAATTTGCTATAGCGACGAGATTCTCTTTATCACAGAGATCTGGGATACTATTTTCATTTGCCCGTTGTTGTGCCGTGCAGATAATATTTGAGCAAGTGCTCATCAGGACACCCGTTCTTTCAGATATCTGCTTCAAAGTCATCTTGTGCGGCCCATCGAGCATTGCATACCCCATGATTTACCCTCATTTACTCAAAGAAGTTGTTTGGCCCCTTGGTGTAGGCATTTTTGCAGTACGTAGACTCAATATATGAAAAAATCGGAGGCGGATTATAGGTAAGAAAAATCTCTTTTCCAAGTACACCCATTACATACACCCCTATTATGCTATTTACTGACTAATTAAACCTTGTTCACATCCCATTGGTTACCTGCACCACTGTCCACTAATGCACGCTAATGCAAGCCCGGTCGTTTTCACAAACGTCTCGACATTACGAGTACCTGGTACATGGTCCGATTATTCGAGTTCTTACGGTATAATCCCTGAACCGGCAGATTAGTCAAAATTCAGGGTTTATCCGCCTCCGGAACTTATATCGTGCGTGCCTCGGCAACGAGCGATCTGGAGAACACCCACACACCCTTGGGGTCATCGGCAAATAAGTAATATTCCACATCATCTTTTCTCTCCTTTCTTAAGCCCCTCCTACGCGTCAGGTTCTTAGATTTTAGGGACTCTAATAACCATGAAAGGCATTCAGGTATCTTCATATATGAACGTAGGCTCCTCACGTCCCAACAATCGCAACAGGAATGAGCGCACCGCTAACTGGTGGATTACTGTTATAGGGCCCGCAGGATCTTAAAGTGATTGACCTCCCGGATCCAACCCCTGCCCCGGGCGAATACCTGATCCAAGTCCGCGCCTCGGCGACAAACTTCTTTGATCTCCTACAAATCCGCGGCAAGTACCAACACCAGCCCCCATTCCCATGGATCTCGGGCCTGGAATTCGCCGGCACAGTCCTCGCCGCCGGTGCCTCCGCCAAAAAGTTCAAAGTCGGTGACCGCGTCTTCGGTGCCAAACAAGGCGCATATGCCACAAAAATATGCGTCAAGGAGCCAGTACTGCACCCTGTGCCCGAAAGCTGGGGATTCAACGACGCGGCGGGGCTCTACGTTACTGCGCCTACCAGTTATCAGGGGCTTGTTGGCCGGGCCGGTGTGAAGAAGGGGGATTGGGTTCTTGTGCATGCGGGCGCGGGCGGCGTGGGTTTGGCGGCAATTCAAATCGCGAAATATTTCGGTGCGAAGGTTATTGCCACTGCGTCCACCGATGGGAAGTTGGAGGTTTGTAAACGGTTTGGGGCAGATTATGCAATCGATTATTCCAAGGGCACCTGGCCGAAGAGTGTGCTGGAGATTACCGGTGGGAAGGGAGTAGACATTGTCTATGATCCTGTGGGCCTTGTGGAACAGAGCCTAAAGTGCATCGCTTGGAATGGGCGGATATTGATTATTGGGTTTGCGGGCGGGAAGATTGAGAAGGTTGCTATGAATAGGGTCTTGCTGAAGAATGTTTCGTTGGTGGGCTTACATTGGGGGCGGTATACCGAGATCCAGAATGAGAAGGGGACCGTCGAGGATGTATGGAGTGGGATTCTGGGAATGATTAAGGACGGTGGGTTTAGGTCTACCGTCTATCGAGGAGAAGAATTTGTGGGATTGGAGAGCGTACCAAGGGCGTTGAAGGCTCTGGGTGCTAGGGAGACGTGGGGAAAGGTTGTCGTCAGTGTGCCCAAGGAGGGTGAAAGCAAACTTTAGCTGGTGTCATTGGTGTATATCATTCTCGCTATTCATTCCCTTCAAATTGTCGTTGCTTGTTGATGTCCAGTATTCACAGAATATCACTCACTACATCCATGGCTCGAGAAACACGCCTTGTATTTTGGAAGAAAACATCAAACTAACTAACCCGCATCGAAAATTAAAGAGGAGCCTACCCCCTGAAGGGGTCAGGACGACAAACTATCTATGCTACTAATCAGCCTTTGCCCATCAATCCTCTCCCACCCACCATTCCTCCCTCTTCGCCAGCGCACCCATCGCAGAGGATTCTCCAACACGAGTCCTCCTCTGCACCCACTCGCTTCCCTCCACCCAACCCGTTCTCCCCTTCTCTCCCCCACTAACCCTCTGATACTTCGCTAGCTCGGCAAACAGTGCTACAATCTTCTTCTCCTCGGCAGCCAGCAACTGACACTCATCCTTACACTCCTGGATCCACCCCACCATCTCCACCACCTCCTCCAAAAGCCCAGTATTAACCATCTCCTCCCCCCCCGTCGCAATCCCGGCCATAATTTTATCCCTCAACTTCCATTCCTCCTTGACCGCCGTCTCCACCCACGCCCGCTTTTCCGCGAATCGCTCCTGGACGCGGGATAGCTCCTTGCGCACCAAGGGGATCGCCTTCTGGACCACGACCCATTCCTCGTTATCGGTCCGCAGGTGGGGGTCTTGGCAGAGGACCTTGAAGAATTCTCGCTTTTCCGGGGTGCTCGGGGTGAAGAGGCGGATGTTGGCGTGGACTAAGTAGAAGTCTGTGCGGATGTCGCGGAGGGAGGAGAGGAGGACCTGGGTGTGACTGGAGAGGGTGGTGATAGCTTCGGTGTCGGGGTTTTTGGCGGGTTCCTTGGCGGTAGTGGTTGGGGGCTTGGGAGATTTGTGATACCGGGACAATTTGGAGAATAGTGGCATTCTGATCAATGTAGAGATATGTTTGCCGTATCTTGGTATAGCAAGTCTGTGGCTGTGGAATTGTGTTGGTTATGGAAATTATTTGGTGGTGGTGATGGTGGTGGTGGAAGTGTGTATATATCCCCTTCAATGATTCGGGGCTTGAAATCTTTGCGGCCCTTGAACACATTTCGTAGTTGAAAAATGGCTCACATGCGATTCTACGGTAGAATAGCGGGAGGGGCCATCTTGAATTTTTGACGCTTGATACAATCTCAAGTCCGTACTGTTATGATACTTTAGATATTGAAAGCCTATACCAATGTGGGTTCATCCAGGTATTTTTGTTTGGTGCTTTCGAACGTTGAACAAGATAATTGGGGCAGTGATCACTCACTCAACCCCTCCAATGGGCCAATCCGGGTCGAAAATGAGTGGATCCGAGCCCAAGCAGAGCCCAAGAAACGGCCGAACGGGAAAGCGTATGGCCTGAGCCCAACCTGAATTGCCATCTCCTCTCGATATGTGCTGATATAAAGTACTCATTGAGTGCCGTCCGTAGCTATCAACTTTCCATGATGGTTCCAGAAACGTGAAATATCCGGTTATGGACTTTGGTAGCGCAAATCACGAGCAGGCTCGAGAAGATACATTTGTTATATAGCGGCGTCTGAGGTTAAATAAAGGAGCTGAGTCATTGTCACTGACTCTCTGTGGGTTGTTACATTCCAAGAACGTCTGGTGAGCAAGGAACTGGAAAGCCTCCTCTTTAGTTTCATTGCGAATGTGAGGATTAGGGTGAATGAAGATTATTTGTACATGTCTATTACTTTCCTCTACAGTAATTTTTTTTTTACACTAGGTTTGTTCACAAAACTATGATAAATATTAATGATAGTCTGCTATCGAACCAAACCAAATATATAACTTGTCACTGTCCCTCCTGTTTGGGTGGCTAACGGGAGGCTCTTTATGAGCTGCTAAAGAATCTATGGTACTTATATAATATCACCATGTTGAAGGAATTGTGTCCTACCGTAGGTCTATGGACTCAGGCTACTGCACCGCACTATGGCTACAGGTAGAGCATCCCGATCACCCATGACAGGGAGGATGGCTCAAGGAACCTCTGGAGTTTCGTGGGCCTTTAAGTTAGCCCGGCCTCAGATCGTCCTGCCACAACCCGGTCAAGTCAGGAAAGCTTGGTCCGGTTGGAAGGCTTGCACTCGTAACCTGTCTCACGCGGATGCTTCGATGAGTTCCATGTCCAAAATTCCGTTTCCCCGCCGCTACCAGGATGAGATAGCATGAGCTACCTGCTGGATAGGAAATACTCCTCAAGTGCTTCCTAAAGCAATTACCATAATATAATAATATGGCTATGATAAGAGCTCATTTTAGCTACTATAGCTAGTAGTATACACGGTTAATTAATATTCATCCGCCGAAAAGGGCTTAATCAAAGCCGGGAACCCATTTTGTTGAAAAGTGGGGAACTGTGGTATGATACTAGCTTTTCAAAAATTCATATTGGCAAAAAGACAGTTGTGATGACAAAGCGCAATGATAGATTGAGCTATTTGGAAGCGTCAAGTTATTGTCACGCCTAGCTTCCAACAATAAAGTTCCAAGAATTGTGAGTTTATAATAATATAATTATCAGAACGAGGTAACATATTATATATTGATGAACAGCAAAGTTTGGCGGCACATTTGCCGGACTGTCTGGTACATAGAGTATGGTTTTTTCCTTTTTATCGAATTAGAGGCTGCTATGAGCCCCCGCTGGAGGTGAGATCTAGCATAAGTAAATGGATGAAAATATTTCAGCCTGTGAGTTTATAGAAGACATTCAAGGATCTCTGTTTACTCTATTTGACTTCCGATTCTATTTTCTACATTGTTTCGCCAGTACCAATACTCAAGCACACGCACCATGGGCCGCCACCCATGGATAGTAGGAAAATGTCGATTCAACAGCAACTATCATTTCGACCTCATGATGACTACTTGATTACCTGGCTATAGTGTCACTCAGACATGCCACTTGACAGCAAAACGATTTACCGCGAACCTCAATAATCAGGATCAGAATGACGGTTTGTGACGGCAACCAGACACGCACTGAGTTATGACATAAGTGCCCAAAGCACCAACAAAGGGGAAAAAGACACCCTGACCCCGCTCAATGCGCCCCAGCCTTACAGCCCCTTCGGTTCTGATATGGGACAAGAAACCTTCCTAGTCCTTTATCATAGGAGGAGCAGCCTAGGCATGCTAGCTCCTGGCAGAGAACATCAAACTAGCAGGACTGAATGTATACTCCTTATAACTGGAGGCAGACAGGCAGTGTGATCCCAGCCACAATCGCCCGAAGTTCCGATTGCGTGGAAAGATTAGCAGTAGCATTGCCCCCCATCTAAGGGGAAGTATCATGGGAACCAACAGCCCAGTGGCTTTGCCTTCCATGACCATGTAGGTGTGGTGCTGGGACGGCTGGTGAAGTTGTGTGGACTGAAATCCGCTACTGGAGAGACTATCGTCCTCAAGTGTCGGAGGTAGTCGTAGTAGTGTTTTTAGCCTCGCTTCACGATAGGGTCCCTTCTACAAGCGTATGAAGCCCCAATTTCGGTCTTATTAGGTAGAGTGCATCTGCCGTTTTACCCCGTAACCGCCCCCTAACTAGGTTTAGGAAGGTGGAAAGCATGGTCCGGAAAATAGTGAAGGAGCTTGCACTTTAGATAAGGAGAATTACAACAAGTACAATATATAACTGTCAATATTTATTCGGTTACTATGAGACTCGCCAGGATGAGAATGCAGTTCTTGTTTTTGAGTAACTAAACAAGATAAGAAAGGAAAAGAAAAAATGTATAAGACTAGACAGAAAGGATGATTCAGCAGATCAGTCTTGTGCTTAGGTATGTATGTCATCTATCCCACAAACACAGAACTTTACGCATGTACATAGTATCGACCATCACAGTGGTCTCATATCTCCGGTGCCTTTAGTTCTCGCTAGTGGTATTTCCTAATATTTCCTAACACCTTCCCTCCTGAACAGGACCCTCATGTAGTTGTATGAAAAAGAAGAACAAAATGTAAAAGGAGAAGAAGGAAAACGGAAAGAAAGCAAATTCCACCTGGGTATCATCGAGCACCAGTAAAACCCTTCCTACAAGTTGTCTCAGAAGGGAAAGGTATACTCTCAACCCTCTATGCACCAACGAGAAGGAAGAAACAGTATGTAGATATGAATAAAAAAAAGACTACTCCAGTTGAAGTTACATAGTAAACTCAGTGTAATGTCCAATATCAAGTCCCTTCGTAAACGCATCAGCTCTATTGAGCTTGCTTGGAACGTAGGTGAAGTCCACCACCTGGTACTCCTGGAGTTCACGGGACTTAAGGAGTCTGATATCAAAGTGTTTGTTTCTCGCAGTGATCCCTTCTCCCTTGACATTAGCAATAGCTCATTCACTGTCGCTGAAGATTGTAATTTAGCCATGGGTATAAGGAGGGTAAGGAGGGTTGGCAATATTATTGTTGATGTCGAAACCAGGATCAGGTTCCTTCCTTTGTATTTGCTTCCCTTCTGTAGTCTCCCTCTGACCATAGTGGATGTCTTCTAGGAGTTGCCAAAGCCAGAGTGCCTGTTTTGAGACGTCGAGGAAGGCAGTAAATTCAGCTTCAGTTGTCGAGGTTGCGATAATTGACTGTCGTTTGGATTTCCATGATAGGGGAGTGCCCAGGAAGAATACGTAACCACTAATTGACTTTCTATCCTCTGGATTGCCAGCCCAATCAGCATCTATATAGGCATATAGTTTGTGAAGATTAGAGGAGGTGGGGTCTGAATTCTTTCTAAATACGAGACCAAGGTCTTGGCTGTACTTCAGGTACCAAAGGATCCTTTTTGCAGCTGTCATGTGTATAGTACGTAGGTCGTGGTTATATTGGCTAAGCTTGGTGACAGCAAAGGTGATATCTGGCTGGGTACCTAGGGCTGTATATATTAAGGATCCGATTATACTCATGTATTCCTTTTGACTTGCTGCATTGTCCAGGTGAGTTGCTGATGCATC